TTATAAACGACAATATATTGCTCCTAACCCCGCTGCAATACTGGCTCCTACCCCAGTTTCAAAATACTAGAAATCCTGCAGCTCTAGCTACACTTTGCAGATACCTTTTAGAACCGGCCCCTCACACTCTTTAAAAGTCTTTTTTTTTTCCTGGACTAGTTAGTGCCCTGTCAAGCAGACCAGATTAATATATGTATAGTATACGTGTGAGGTGAATAAATATAATGCTACTGTGAGACAAATTACTGAAAAGGATGTAACTTATTAGAGTGTTAAATTGTGTTACCAGGCTATGCAAACAGAAACACACTCTTTTAAGCTTGTGTGGCAACACTGCCATCATAATATATTTTTTTAATGTAGTAAGCAGTCAGAGGGTACCCATTTGTTGGTAATATTTCAGCCACCTTTTAAACATTTCACAGGGCTTGCTTTCAAAAGCACCAAAGGTTGAACATTTATAATATGAGATTATACTTCACTTTATGGGACTCAGTCAAATTAGAATGGATTGCTTTTTCTAAGTTAATGCCCTACATCTGGATTTTGGCCAAGAGCCTCTCCAGCACCTGCCCCATCTGTAACTCCTCTTCCCTGTCAGCTCTGCCACATAGTCCTCTTCAGAGCCAGCCATGGTGCCAGCCAACAGGTGCAAGGTAGCAAGCAATTCCTGGTCAAAGACATTCTGAGTTCTTGCAGCTAGTTTTTAATTTTTTTAAAAAAATCATTTTTTTTAAAAGGTGTGTTGTTAGAAATAGTTTTCAGTACTATAAAACTACATAGAACAAGGAGGTAGAAAAGATAAAAAGAGATATGGCAACAGATAAAAGGGGAGGTAATACAGTGACTTCCAACTCTCTCCCCAGTAGTTACATATGAAATAATATTTTACTTCCTCTATTATGAAACATCTTTTATTGTACTTCTAGTACTAAACTCATCATAATTCATTTCCATATTTCAATTTCTTCTCAACAATTTATACATCCACTCCTCATAATCTCAAGAACCCTATGCAATATTCAAAAACCTAATGGCTCAACCAATAATCCACCCCATATCATTACTTAAATCTTATATAAAGTTTCCTTCCAAATCTCAGTTTTTGCACATTAATTTTTTATGAGATTACTCCACTACTTTCCAATTAAAATAATTAAATTATCCATTCCAACAAGATCCCACCATCTTATGTATATGCATGTAATAAGTAATTTCTATATTCTGATTTCTTTTTAACAAATTATCTATGTGATCTTCAAAATCTCAAAAAAAGCTGCTTAATATTCACAAACCAAATAATACCTAATCCAACCCAACCTTCCAAGGTTTCCTTCCAAATCTCAGTTTTTTTATAAAATGGACAAGGCTACTCCATGATGTTTGTGTACTTGGCCTTGGTGTACTTGAGTTAAACCATTAATTTTAAATGCCAGATTTCTTTCTCTATCTTCTCCCTGGGTAGATTGTTCCCCTTCCTCAAGCTACTTTCACTTTGTACTTCCTCTACTGTCTATATTAATCACCATTTTCCTGAGCAGAAGGCATCTTTCTCTGTACATTTCTTCATCTCCTCATTCTTCCATCCAATGTCGGATTCCTCTGTCTCAACAGATTTTCTCAAGTCTTTCTCAAACAACTCTCACTTTAGAAATCTTACAGTCTCCACATTAATTACTACTTTTCCATGATAGGAAGAATCGGGTTGCATCTGCATTGTAGAAATGAACCAGCTCAACACCACTTAAACTGTCATGGCTCCCTCTTACAGAATATGGGATTTGTAGTTTGATAAGGCATCAGGACTCTTGACCAGAAAAGGCCAAAACCCTGTAAAACTACAAATCTCAGATTCCCATAGGACGGAGCTACAGCACTTAAAGTTATGTCAAACTGCATACTTTCTGCAGTGCAGATGCACTCTTAGAGGTGAAGCAGATTGCCCCTTTGCACCAGCTTTGGGGCAGCATGGGGGCATGACAGTTGGATGACACATGCCTTGATGCTGCCTCCAAGACAGCATCACACTGCCCACCTAACCACACAGCAGTCAGCGTTGTGGCACTCGGATGGCACTGTGTTTATATGCTGCATGCTGCAGGAGTGGCAGTGGAAAAGCTGCCTTTTTGCAGTGGCAAAACATCAGAGTGGGGCCGGGGGGTGCAGTTGCCGCAGTGCCCACCCAGCTCTATTGCACCTCTGAAAGGCATCACGCCCCTGGAAGGGGTGCCTTTGGGCCAATCTGTTTCGTCTTAGTCTCCATTAGCTTCTTTCACATCTCCTTCTTCCCTCTAATGTTGATTCCTTCTATCTCCAGTGATTTTTCCAAACCATGACTTGGATCTTCATTGTTTTTTCCAATTGTTTCAGTTGTCTTAGGGCCTGTACACATGGGCTAAAATGTTTGTGCTACCTACCCCCAGCCTCACATTACCCAGTATGGACAACACAGGCCATTAGCCCTGGGCTGGGATTGGCCTATCCGGATGCCCATCTGGTGCTTCCAGACCATTCTTGGCCCAAAGGAGCCTTAGCCCAGGGTTTCCTTAATACTCTGTGGGAACAGCTGGTATACTGTATGGCCGCACACACCCCATACCTGTGTCTGCCGTTGCCTCTGCTCAAAAGACCTCAGTTGCAGCCTGTGATGGATAGGAACACTTGGTCATGTAGGTGTAGTCAGGTGCCTAGTTTCCACCCTTATGGGCTCCAACAGAGGTCTTCTAAATAGATACAATGGCAGAGGCAGGTATGGGCCGCAGGATAGTAAGGGTTTTATGGTGTGGCAGCAGGTGGGCCAAGTCGGCCCAGGGACTGATCTGGGTCAGTACTCAGGGCAGGAAAACACAGGCTTGGCCCCATCCTATCCTGCCCTTTTGCTTAGGCCCTTAGTCTCTAGTTCCAGTTCCTTCTGAGACAGTGTTTGCTCAACTTGTTTAAAATCTTTCAACTCCTCTTTATCTCTGCATTCATATTGTCCTTAAAATTAATCACCATTTGATCTGTCTGCACCTGGAACAATCTTATTTCATACAGTATTTCCTGAAAGTCCCTATTCTTGTATTCATTTTGACAACTATCAAATTAACACAGGGCATAAAGAGACAAGATGGTTTACTCACTTCTTGATTACTAAAGTGCTCCACAGACCTAAGCACAGTTTCTTCTGGTTTAATGAGGCAGTTGAAATTATGTGATGATTGGAACACCAATCAACCTACATACAATGTAATAAGACTGCCTTTTCATTTCTCTCTATCAGGGCAATTGTAAGAGAAAATGAACTGCCTTAGGAAGACAATGCCTTTTATCATGGCATCTTGAGGAAAATAGAATTGATATTCACTGGGAAAGGGCATATTAAGTACAGTCTATTCTCAGCTAAGCAATTCTTGGATAATTGACTTTCTGATTAAAGCTTGCAATTTTTAACAATAATTTTCTGCTTGGAACTTTAGGAAGGGAAAATATGTTGGAAGAATTATCTGCAAGGAGGTCTCAAGTGGATTAAATTGTAATAAAGTCAGAGGCCTGAGAGCCAGCATAGTGTAGTAGTTTAAGCATTGGACTATGACTCTGGAGGCCATGATATGAATCCTCACTTAACCGTGGAAACCCACTGGGTGACTTTGGGCAAGCCATACTCTCTCAGCTTCAGAGGAAGGCAATAGCAAATCCCATCTGAACAAATTTTGCCTAGAAATCCCTATGATAAGGTTGCCTATGTTGGAAACGACATGAAGGCACACAGCAACAACTACTTTTAACAAAGTCAGAGGCCTACTTTTTCCTGTCTGCTATCCTAAATCTATGCCATAGCTGCTGTGATTGCTGAAATGTCTGTGAGTGGCTTGGTGATGGACCTGGCAGAAGCATTGGGATCACCTTCTGTGGTCTCCTAGTTGCAGCTACAACGTGAATCTGTTGTAACAGCAGCTGAGGTGGGAATCCAGAGTAGACTTTTGTAGATATAGTCTAAGTACTGGCAGGCAGCTGTCTACTTCAAACACCCACTGTGCTCCTGCCCACCCTTCCATGCCAATCGAACTATTTATTTGTTTTATTGTATTTGTATCCCGCAGCTGAAAGCAGCAGCTTTTTGTGGATGAGCAAACCACCTTCTCCTATAACTGTTGTGTGGGACAGCAAATGAATTCACTAATGAATTCACAACGTAGATCCTAATCAGAGATGCCTCCCTGGAGAAATGGGATGCTGTTCTCTTTTGTTGCTTTTTCATCTGCTTTGTTGAGCCAGGATTTTGTTTTTTGTTTTGTAAATCATATGTTCCAACTGCATGGAACAGCCAGCGTGGCATAGTGGTTTGAGTGCTGGACCACAGCTCTGGACCAGGGTTTGATTCCCAGCTTGGTCATGAAACCTACTGGATGATCTGGGGCAAGTCACATGCTGTCAGCCTCAGAAAGACAAAGGCAAACCTCCTCTAAATCTTGTCAAGAAACCCACATGGTAGGTTTGCCTTAGTGCCACAATAACTCAGAAACAACTTAAAGGCACACACACACACACACACTAGTTGCACAAATCTCCACCAACAAATGAAAACCAAAACCAAATATAACCACTCACAAAGTATGATTTGCTCACAGGTTGCCCTCTTTATCAATGGCATTTTCCCCATAGGAACCAGTGATTCCTATCTATTGTACAGCCATAAATCAGGTGTGGGTCTGACTTACTTCATTAATAGGCCATTCCTGTTGCCTCATCAAATTTGTGCAGCCAAAATTGGTACCATTCTAAAATTGGGCTTTTCTGCTTTCAGCAAAATTATCTTTCACGGAAGTGCTTAATGAACACTTAATGTGTCTTACCTTCTCCTCCATTTTTCCAACTTCATATTATCATATTGTTGTTGTTGTTAATGTAAATGCTGGCACTGTTATAGGAGCACTGTCCTGCGTGGATAGCTCCATTTTAATGCTATTAAGCAGAAACTTTAATTGGGTCTATGTAACTCATTACAGTGGGTCCTTGTTATCTGCTGGGGTTTGGTTCCAGGATCCCATGTGGATAACAAATCTGGATGCTCAAGTCCCATTAAATACAATGGCATAATAAATGATGTCCCTCCATAAAATTGAAAATCAAGGCTTGCCATTTGAAATTTATGCTTTTTTGGAATATTTTCAAGCTGTAGATACTTGAATCAGTGGATAAAAAAAATAATCCATGGATGGGGGGGCAACTGTAATTTTAAAACTTTGCCATGCTATAAAAGGAAATAGGTGCCAACCCCTTGCCCAAAGGGGGGAAAAAACCTATTTTCTAACAATTTTGTCACTGTGCATCTGAAGTCAGCATGCTCCTTTGCTCCACAAGTTTTTTTTAATAGCCAGAGTTTAATCTTATTAAAAGATTGCTCAGAGTAACTAGGAGATTTCTGCCATTCAGTGAGACCTCTCAGGAAACAAATGACTCAAATCCCAAATAAGATTTCAGCAGGAAGATAATGTATTTTAGGATAGTAAGGATCCACTCATCATCAGAGCTACAGAGTTGCTCTCATTACCAGAATTCCTCTCTACTCTAGTATAACTCTTGCAACATACTTGCGATTTACTAGCTTCCTTGACCGCTGACCTGTGTCAAGAGAGCTATGATGTAAACTCACTCCCATGGATTCAGAGCAAAGAGATTGTAGCAGAGAGAATTCAGACCTGGGAGAGCAGGTGTGAGATTAGAGGGCTGAATGGCTAGGATTTATGTTGTACTTGCCACAACCCTGATTCCAAGAAAAGGAGCTTTCAATAGTTTTCAGTGAAGGTTATAACAGGTGCCATGGTTGCTTACCTTGTTTGGTGGGTTTTTTTTAAGTTGTATAAAAGCTTATTTTAAAATGCTAATTGAAGACCTGTTTGTTGTTAGTCAGCTCTGCAGCACTTGTTCATACACTTTCTACACAATTTTTATGAGCTCATTTACGTTCCTAATATTTCGAGAGACAATTTGCACCAAGAGGGGAATTTCTTTCCTAATAATCCCAGAAGCTGAATAGTTAAACAGATGCAAACGTTCATTGCCACAGGGCATACTTTTATAGTGTCCTTCCTTGGCATACAGATTCTTTGTGGGTGAAAACAGATGTGTATTGATTGCTTCTTTGCAGAAATGGAATAAAAGAAGCTGGTGTTAATTATGATATTACAAAGACTAAATAGAAGCTAGTACAGAAATATGTAAGAAACATGATTGGGCCAGTTTCCAACAGCCATACAGATGAGAACCATCCTTGATGCAGCGCAGCAGCAGCAGTGGCAGCAGGGCCGGGAAGAACCCCACCCTGTTCCATCTCCACATGGCAATGCAGCAGCAGTGGTAGCAGCAACACTGGGAAGAGGCCTGGGCGGAGGCTTTAAAGCCCTCCCTGTTCTGTCTCCATGCAGTAGTGCAGCAGCAGCGGCAGCAGCAGAGCCGGGAATAGGCCTTGGGCGGAGGCTTTACAGCCCACCCTGATCCAACATCGCGTAGTTACTGTCTCTAGTATTATCAACATCTTTAATAAAGAATGCTATATGATCACAGAGATTATCATGATCATCTTTTTCCTAGTTGATATGGCAGTGACATTGTACATAAGGGTGTATGGTTACTGTCTGATGAAAGCAGAGAGAGAAAAGGTGTGGTTGAATAAGATTTTTTGAACAGGCAGATATCTGAGTTGGGATTTTGGTCACCTGGTCACATATTCACTTAGCATTATTTGACCATGATTCCATGAAGCCAATGTTAACTGTTATTCATAGTCAAATATTTGCCTTTTTATTTATGTCTGCTGTAATCCAGCATTGTCAGAAATGAAGGCTCCTTGTTTATTAAGCAATGTAGAAATCTAGAAATAGGCAAGTACCTACCTGTACAAACAGTTTTTATTTAGAAGCCAAAACAGCCATCCCACCCCCATTCTGTTTACACTTTATTCTTTTGAAGACCACTTTTAGCTATTTTGGTCTATACTCAAATTATATCCATTAAAATAGTGTATATTGTTTTTGACATATAATGTTGTTGCTAAGTGCCTTCGAGTTGATCTCGACTCATGGCGACCCTACAGATGAAACATCTCCAAGACTCCCTGTCCTCCACTGCTCTGCTTAAATCCTGCAACCCCATACCCATACTCCTTAATACCGTCAGTCCATCTATCTAACATGTGCCCTTCCTCTCTTCCTGCTTCCTTCCACCTTTCCCAGCATTATTGTCTTTTCTAATGAGTTTTCTCTTCTCATGATCTGTCTGAAGTATGACAGTCTCAGTTTGGTCATCTTGGCTTCCAGGAAAGTTTCTGGCTTGATCGACTCCAGGACCCACTTGTTTGTCCTTTTGGCTGGCCATGGGATCCTCAGCACTCTTCTCCAACACCACATCTCAAAAGAATTGATTATTATGACACCATAATACTAGCAGAAAACTTCACAGACCTGGAACGCCTACTAAGGAAGTTCAAAGAAGAAAGTGCAAAAGCAGGCTTAATGCTGAACATAAAGAAAACAAAAATAAAGGACCTTCACAAGTTCAACCTAGACAATGAAGAAATAGAAATAGTAAAAGAATTCCCATATCTGGGATCAAACATTGATAGAAATGGAGACTGCAGTCAGGAAATCAGAAGAAGACTATTCAAATGGGGAGAGTGGCTATGAAAGAACTAGAAAAGATTCTAAAATTCAAAGATATACAACTCAGTGCAAAAGTTAGAATCATACAAGCCACTGTATTCCCTATTACCATGTATGGACATGAGAGCTGGACAGTTAAGAAAGATGATAGGAAGAAAATCAATTCATTTGAGATGTGGTGCTGGAGAAGAGTGCTGAGGATCCCGTGGACAGCAAAAAGGACAAAGAAATGGGTCCTGGAGCAGGTCAAGCTGGAAACCACCCTGGAAGCCAAGATGACCAAACTGAGACTGTCGTACTTTGGACATATGAGAAGAAAGGACTCTTTGGGAAAAAAAATAATACTGGGAAAGGTGGAGGGAAGTAGTAAGAGATGGATGGACTCTATTAAGGAGGTTCACGGATTTTTAAGAGGTTGCAGGATTTAAGCAGAGCAGTGGAGGACAGAGGGTCTTTGAGATGTCTCATCCATAGGGTCGCCATGAGTTGAGATTGATTCAAGGGCAGTTAACAATAACAAATTTCTCTTATTTCAGTTTCCACCTCACTTTTTAGAATATGGGGATTATCTTCATATGGCTCTTCATTCCATTTGTCCTTCATTTTGTCATCTAATTTGTATAATTTTTCTGTGTATTGCATCCAATGCCTTTTTATTGCTCCCTGGTCTTGAATTATGTTATTTTCGTTATAGATCAGGGGTCGGCAACCTACGGCCCGTGGGCTGTGTGCGGCCCGAGGAGGCCTTGGTACCAGCCCGCAGCCAGTCCCACCACTGCCGCCCCACGCGCACTATTTTGGCTTCAAAAATGGCACCTGCGCTCGCATGCGCACAGTGCCGGGTGCCATTTTGGAAGGCCCCACAGTGTCTGCGCAGCCGCTGTTGGGCCTTGGGAAGGCCGCACCACGGCTGCGCCGGGTGAATTTGCCTGGCGCAGGCACGGGGGGGGCTTTCCAATGCCCAGGGAAGACCCCCGCAGCTGTGCCGGGTGAATTTGCCCACCGTGGGTGTGTGGGGCCCTTTCCAAGGCCCAGGGAAGCCCCCTCCGTGCCTGCGCCGGGTGAATTTGCCCGCTGCAGGCATGGGAGGGGCGTTCCAAAATGGCACATGCGTGGGGGCAAGAGCGTGTGCATGGGGGGGCAAGTGCGTGCACCCCCCCGCCATTCCCCCCCCGGGCCCCCCGGCAACAAAAGTTGCCAACCCCTGTTATAGAACGTCACATTCCTTGGTTTGAATTTTCATTTGATTTCCCAGATCTGGTGAAATAGATCTCTTGTTCTTCCCTTTTTGTTGTTGTCTTCTATTTCTCTGCATTGGTCATTGTAGTACTTTTCTTTATCTTTCTACACACGCCATTGTACTGTTGCATTCATATTTCTTAGTTTGTTCCTATCTCCCTTTTGTTTTTCTTTTCTTCTTTTCTTCATTGTTTTGTAGTGTTTTTTTCTATTATCCATGGTTCACTCTCTCTCTCTTTTGTTAATTGAAAGTGTCTGTCTGCTTTCTTCTTTTATTATGTCCCTGGCTTCAGATCCTCTGGTTCTCGGTTTATTATGCTTAGTAGTGCGAATCTGTTTCTTATATTGTGGTAAATTCTGTTGAGATATTATTTAGAATCATATTTTGGTATAATCACTGATTTTGTTTTCTTCCTGAGTCTTACTCTTATTTTTGATATGAGTAATCCATGATCAGTGCCACAGTCAGTGCCTGGTCTAGTCTTGGTCACCAGTT